AGACTAGGGATGTGTCCTTCCACTCCCATTCTTTCTTTTCTTTCTTTCTTTCTTTCTTTCTTTCTTTCTATTTATTTTTTGTTTTTTTTTTTTTTTTTTGGCAGTTTTTTGCCAGGGTCGGGTTTGAACCTGCCACCTCTGGCACATGGGGCCAGTGCCTGACTTGTTTGAGCCACAGGCGCCGCCAGGGAGGTTCTTTTATTTTTTTTTGCATGTGGTTATTGTTTCAGCAGCATTTGTCAAAAAGACAATTCTTTCCCCGTTGAGTTGCCTTTGTGGAAAATGAGTTGGCCACATAAATATGAGTCTGTTCCTACTGCCTCTGTGCTTTCTGCAGCACCCATCATCAAGATTACTACAGCTCGATAGTTAAATCTAGAAGTTTTCCAGCTGTTCTTCATTTGCGGAATTATTTTGGCTATTTGAGATACACATATATACATATTTTTTTTTTCCTTTGGATGCAGAGTCTCTATCACCCTGGGTAGAGTACTCTGGCATCATAGCTCACAGCAACCTCAAATTTGGAGGCTCAGACAATCCTCTTGCCTCAGCATCCCAAGTATCTGGGACAACAGGTGCCTGCCAGGACACCTAGCTAGTTTTTGTGTGTGTGTTTTTTTTGTTTGTTTTTTTAGAGACAGAGTTTCACTTTAGCTCACAGCAACCTCTAGCTCTTAGGCTTAGGCTATTCTCTTGGCTCAACCTCTCGAGTAGCTGGGACTATAGGCGCCCACCACAATGCCCAGCTATTTTTTTGTTGCAGTTTGGCCAGGGCTGGGTTTGAACCCACCACCCTTGGTATATATGGGACCAGTGCCCTACCCACTGAGCCACAGGCGCTGCCCTTGTTTTTTTTTTTTTTTTTTTTAGTAGAGATAGGGTCTCACTATTGCTCAGGCTGGTCTCAAACTCCTCAGCTCAAGCAATCCAGTATCCCCAGCTTCCCAGAGTGCTGGGATTACAGGTGTGAACCACCGTCCTCAGCCGAGTTTGGTTTACTCTATGCACAGGTCTGGCAGAGCTGGTGTGTGCCCAGAGTCCCACCTTTCTCACAGGCAACAGATACAACTGCATATTTCTTCCAGTCTTCCAACTATTAGTCTCCTCTACATAGGAGTCTGACCTGTGCAAGTCAGGGTCTGCCAAGGATGCGAGGGGTGTTCATACGCAGACTTTAGAGTGCCCCTTCGATGGCTGTCCTTGCTAGTATTCTTCCCCTTCATTTTCAGCGATCCTGCAGCCCCAAACTCTGTTCTCTGATTCCTGAAGCCACAAACATTACGGCTTTCTGTTTGAGTTGTAGCCACTTCGTACCACACAGAGTGGGGAATGTGCTCAGGGGCATAGCTGTGTTAGGTGTGGGTCTCACAGTTCAATGTCCTTTTAGTGGTTGAAAATTTTCCAGTTTTGACCGGCTTTTAGTAGCTCTTTAGTGCCTTCAAATAGTTATTTTATGTTTTTTTCCAGGGTGTATAATTGTTACCTGCAGGTGATAAACTATTGTGCTCTTACCAGAAGCAGAATGACTGCCTTTCTTTTTTCCAATTAGTGGTTATACAAATGTGCAAACATTTAGAAAAGTGGAGTAATACTAGTGTGGACACCTGTATTCCTGCTTCTTGGAATCTAGGATCCAATAGATTGGGATGTCGTTGCTTTTAAGTGCTTTCAGTAGGTGGAGTTAGGAAATAAATTTGAAAAATCTTGCATTCTTTTTCTCTTCCCCTCCCTTTTTTCCTTTGAGACATTCTCACTCTGTTGCCCAGGCTAGAGTGTCGTGGCATCATCATAGCTCACAGCAACCTTAAACTCCTGGGTTCAAGCAATCCTCTTGTTTTAGACTCCCAGGTAGTTGGGAGTACAGGTGTCCACCACAACGCCTGGCTAGTTTTTCTATTTTTAGTAGAGACGAGGTCTCACTCTTGCTCAGGCTGGTCTTGGACCCCTGAGCTCAAGCAGTCCACTTGCCTTAACCTTCCAGAAGGCTAGAAAGAAAAATCGTGCATTCTTATTGATATTTTTAATTCAAATTTGACTCTTCATTTTATATTTGTATCTTTTCTACAGTAGGGAAAATCTCGGATTATAATAATTTAACAATCTAGGAAGTCTGACTTTTTAGCCTTTTCCTTTCTCCTCCAGGCTTTCATTCCCTGTAAGTCACAACTATGTTTTTTCGTTTGCTTGTTTTTGGAGACAGAATCTCACTTGGTCATCCTTGGTGGATTGTCATGGAGTCTTAAGAGCTTACAGCAGCCTCAAATTTTTGAGGCTTAAGTGATTCAGTTGTTTCACCCTCCCACATAGCTGGGACTACAGTTGGTCGCCACAATGCCCAGCTATTTTTTAAAGTCAGGGTCTCCCTCTGGGTCAGGTTGGTCTTGAACCTGTGAGCTCAGGTGGTCCACCCGTCTTGGCTTCCCAAGTGCTGGGATTACAGGCGTGAGCCACTGCACCTGGCCAATTATGTTTGTTTTGGTTTATCTACCATCATTTTTTTATTTAAATATGAGCAGAACATACATATGTTCGCATTTTTTTTTCTGTTTCTTACAAAACACAGAATTTTTTTTTTTTTTTTTTAGA